CTCGCGATCGATGCCTGATTTATTTCGCCGGTGTACGAATTGACGTCGGTCGTTGGACGGCAACGAGGCCGTCACGCCGATACCTGGCGCGCACACTCGCGGCTGCATCTAATCGACGCGTCAGCTGGAACAACGCTGTGCAAGCGTCACTTCGCCAGGTGAGACTTATAAATCGTCAAGCGTGTACCTTGATATTCCAACGAATCACAAAAAAAAAAGAAACAGAACGCGACTCGAGAATTCGTTCGGATCGGAGATCCCGTCCCGAGATCAGTGGTAATACGAATTCAAAGTTTCGTCATCGAAAGGCAATCTCTTTAGGAACCATGCTTCAATTTCTTAGCCACGCGAGAACGCGAGAAAAAATGAGCGAACGTAACGCGCGGCGGAATGTGTACGAACGCCGCTCCGCCTTCGATCGACGTTCCCGTCGTTTCCTTCAATTACGTGTCCGCCCGACGCGTTTGTTTCCTTAATTTTTGTCCCGAGACGCGCTGAAGAGGAGAGAAGAGGTCGACGCACTCGAGGAGAGCGCACGATGGATTCTCACGTGAGAAACGCGACGACCCGCAGCGTGCACTCGCCGCCGCAGCGGCCGCCGCGATCATCGGCGCGGTTGCAACTTTGTATGGAAATCCCGATACGCGATAAAAGCGGCCGAGCGCGGGCGGCCGGAGAGAGAGAGAGAGAGTGAGAGAGAGAGAGAGAGAGAGAGAGAGAGAGAGGGAGAGAGAGAGAGAGCGAGAGTAAGATGGGGAGAGAAAAGGGGAAAAAGGCGGGGAAAATGTGATCCAGGCCCGGGCTTCGTGGTAGCGAAGGCACACCGGCGCGCCGAGGTCATCATTATCCGCCATTATCCGCTCGCGGCCAACCACTGTAATCCGTATTTCATTTTCTGCCGGTTTTTTGTCGCCGACGGAAGAGCGGTTATACGGCCGAAGATTACAGGCGCAGCGCGGCCTACGGTGACCGATAGTTTCCGCGATGCGCAACCTAGCGCGGCCAAGATGCGCGCTTGGGCGGAGAGTGCACCCCCTGCGAACCCCCGTTGGCCAGCCGTAACCCCCTCGGCGCGATATCCAGGGTCAAGGGGCTTTCGAAGGGGCGTGCGCGCGATCCGCAGCCGAAATATCGGTCTCGCGATTCCCGCGGGATCCTCTTGAGCGCGAGACAGTCGGGCTTGCGAGGGCGCGCACGGTTCATTGAAAATTTTCACCATCCGACGCGTGTCACTTCATGACGAAAGACTCGATAAGTTTCAGCTGCTGAGGACATTCGCGTGTCTTCGAGGAATCCGACGAGCGTTTCGGTATTTACGAACAACGCACCGGTTGATAAATTCTTCTACTCGGGGATCCGTCGGCGAATACGCGAGAACCAGGTGAAAGCGTTGTGATCGAGGCTCTTGCGAGGGAGAAAGATTCATTCGACCTACGGAGAAGGTTCACGAACGTCGTACTGGTCGATAAGTCGCGCGACTCGGGATTCAGCCGGCGAATTTACGAAAGCTGCCCGCATGGTTTGCGTCGCGTAAAAAAATCGACTCAACTTCTCCAGGAATAAATTTATCAGTGGCAGGCAATTATTAAATTTTAAAGTGACAGAAATATGGTATCTGTCAGTTATATGACTGGATTGAATTTTATCTTATGGAATTTTGCGAGAAATATTCATTTGTGATAATGAGCTCGGTCGGTCCAAATTTGAAAGAAGTTATTCTATCTAACGAAATCATTCAGATTTAAGTAAATGTTATTAGTAGCAAATAAATATTGTTTGCGTCTCTCTAAGCGTACAAATTGGAAACGGGCTAAAAAATCGCAACGGGTCAGATCGCACTCTAAGCTAAATAAGTGTGCACCGGGAAGACTACTCTCGACCTTCTTGACCACTCACCTGACCTCTCGACGTCTTCGTCATCCGTCGAGAGTCCTTCGATCGATCGATCGATGGATCGATCCCCGAATCCGCGAGACAACGCGTGTCGCTCGTAACGAATCTCGGTTGTTGCATAATGAGAGCATAAATTACGCGCTCTCGTACGAGAGTTCGCTCTTTTTCTCTTTTTTCCCTCCTCTCCTCCCTTTCCCCAACCTCCTGCACTTCCTCCTCCCCCTTCTCCCCCTTCTCCTGCTCCCACCCGCTATCGCCGCTTCGGGCAAGCGCAATAAATTCCAACGTATAGACAACGGGGCCCCGCGGGGCCCCCGCCGCGTGTCGTCCGCAACGCACGCACACGCCGCAGCTCGTTGTTCGTATATATTTACCTGGCAATTAGTTTTGCGGAGAATGTTGTTGTCCTTGGTCGTACAGACAGAGCGAGCGTGAACGAGCGCGCGCTCGCTCGTTTGCGGGGGTGTCCTCGTCGCCTGGTATATCCTCGTGAACAACATCCGAGCGAATCTTAAGGCGAATTTACTATTTCGGCCCGCCTACGACGATCGTTCTCGCTTTATTGAATTAGCGGACTGGAGTAAACTGCGCAGCAAATTGATCGTCGACATTAATTTACGTATATTGCAAGGTCCTCTCTCTCTCTCTCCCCCCCCCTCTCTTTCTCTCTCTCTGTAGATTCTCTTTTGTCGATAAAAGTGCTTCTAAATGTATTTACAAGCCAATCATAAGACTTACAAGTCATATTTAGAGAAGCGCTTTTATCGGCAAAAGAGAACTCAGAATAAGGACCGTAGACTGCCGATTTGCGATTCTACATTATGTATGGGTTTTGTCACGGTGTTTGTAAATGTTTTTAAACAAATCGTACGAATTGATACATATAAACATATATAATGATATAAATCATATAAATGTATATAATGAAATAATGATATAAATATATGTATGTATATAAATAAATGTATGTATGTATTCAACATGTTAGTTGTAGGTGATCTAACTCGCGAAATCCTATTCGCGGGCAACATCATTGACTGTGTTGCAATGCAATTGAGAGGTGCACCCGGAGAAAAGGAAAATTTCTTTACGCGTCATTTAGGACTGATTTTTCCAACTTCTTGGTAAACTAGTCAACAGTTAAATCATATGTCTGTCTTTGTTTGATTTGAAGGAAAAACAAATCGATCCTTAGAGGATCTCTCGTTCTCCGAGCCGATACCCCGGACCGTTTGTCGATTTACGAGCTCGCTCACTTCGCTTCATCTTACACTAACAGCGTGTATAATTTTAGAATCGTACTGCGCTTGAGCCATACGCGCGCGCGCGCGCGAACAGCGGAATCGTGATATCAGCGTTAGCCGGCGATTTTCGCGTCCGAGACGCGATCTCTTGAGTTATGCCGCTTATGCGCGAGCGGCATCGCGGATCGCGAAACAATAGCCGGTGCATCCCGCGATAAAATTGCCGGGGACTCATTTATCGCGCTTAACGATACGCGGTCGCGGCGCTTGTGGTTCGCCTCGCGAACGCTATGAAACCGCGACCTCCGCGCTATCTCTCTTCGCTCGCCCTTTGCTCCCCTCCGCCCTCTCACCCACTCACCTCCAGCCTGCAGAGGTGCCCTCCGCGCGTTCGTTACTCCCCTTTAACACCGTGCTTTAACCGCGCGCGCTCGCTCTCTCTCTCTCTCTTGACAGAGCGCGAGAGCCGACGATATCCGACGCGATAGATCGAAAGGGGGGCCCCCGAGAGCCCCCTCAGCCCCTCTCCCTTTCTCTCTTGGGCCCGGAGCCCTCGCTCGCGATTTTTATTTCGCCGCCGCCGCGCCGCGCCGCGCCGCTCGGCGCGAGGTGTTGTTGCAACAAGGTGTTAGATTAATTGCGCGATTAAATCGTCGTAAATCTCGAAAAGGGACGCCCACTCGCCGAGTGCGCGCACGAGGGTGCGAGGAGGAAGGGGGAGGATGAGTGAGACGAGCGGGAAAGAGAAAGAGAGAGAAGAGCCGACTCTCCTCGTGCACCTCCTCGACGTTTCCAGGGCGATACGAATCTTTATGGCGGCGAGATTCTCGCCTTCCCGGCCGCATTCTCCTCTTCTTCCTCCTCGCGCCGCCGGAGACGTCGATCCTGAAATTGGAATGCCCGGCGCAACCATCAGCCGGATCGCCCTCGAGGAAAACTCGCGCTGAGAGTAAATACTCCCCCGCCTATCGGCCTATCGACGAGTGCTGTGTCGGGTGGAGTTTGTACACTCGAACTCGTCCGCGAACGAAACTCGACGTCGAAAGGAGAAGAAAGAAAGTAAAAAGAAGGAACAAGACCGTGTCCGTCGAAGATTGATATCTTCATCGATCTGGGATCCTCGCGATCTCCGAGTCGTTGAACCTTATCGATCCCATGTGAAGAAAAAAGATCTAGATGCACCTTTTCCTTTTGGTATGATACTAAAAAATAAAAGAATGTTATTCAAAGAAACAGCGCACGAGAAATAATCTTCCATCAATCTTCTAAGAAAGAAAATTTCCTTTGCTCTTCTTTGAGAGAAATAAAGGAAAATTAATTCTTTTGTAAAATAAAGGAATCTTGAAAAAATATTTGTCGACGATTGATATCTTCGTCGATCTGACATCCTTTTGATCTCGAGCGCTCGCGTCGTTGTACTTTACTGATCTCATGTGAAGAAAGAAATCTCGATGCATCTTTTTCTTTTTGTAGGATACCGAAGAATAAAGGGATAATATTCACAGGAAAAAAGTGCGCGAAAAATTAACTTCGATTAGCCTTCATAAGTTTTCTGAAAAAAATTTTTTTTGCTTCTATTTGAAGAATAAAGGAAAATTCGTCCTCTTGTTGCGTAAAGGAACCTTAAGAATGAAGGAAATGAAGGAAATTTACTTTATTAATAGAGCTATGACGAAATTCGCGAGCAACGATTAGAAATTCGACCGGAGACTTTCACCTTTCGACGCTTTCGCTACTACGTAGCGGGTCCCGATACGCACGTGGAATTGCGTCTCGTTGCGCTTAACTGCGTCGGCGTTAACGCGAAAGTCTCGGAGGATATCGGGTAAAGATGTGCGGCTGGGAAACTGAGGCGTACGCGCGTTTACGAAACTTTTCTTTCTCTTTATTGTCACTTGCTCCGTGTTAGTAACTCGCTCCGAATGTCGAGCGAGCGAGAAATGTCAACGTAAGAAAATATATATATATGTATATATATATATATATATCTATCTATCTATCTATCTATGTATGTGTATGTATATGCGCGTGTGTATACATATATATTATCATTAATATTATATCATTATTGCTCTCGTCAAGGCTCGTCTCAGTCCGCGCGCGACACGCGCATCGAATGTCTCGATCGCGGCCGACTAAGTCCAATTAATCTTAGGCAGCTTAGGTTTAACCGTACCACGGTTGAGTCACCACGGTGTGTTAAAGAGGAGAGAGAGAGAGAGAGAGAGAAAGAAAGAAAGATAGACTAATTAATCTATCCTCTCGAGCGCCGTGCCGGATTCTCTCAACAGTCGTGCTCCGCGCGATTTCACACAACGCGACGCGCTCGCGTCTGAGAGCAGCCTCGACTACGATTATTATCTCGTGATACGCCATACCCACCTTAATCTCATTAGAACAGTCGAAACACGCGAGTGTATATAAATAGATAATATATATATATATAATATATGCGTAACAATGTGCGTCTTGCTTTGACGCAAGACCGGTTAATCGAGTGTAGGAAATCAACGCTTAGTCCTAATTAAATATATCTGCTCATATAAAACCAGCAACGCCTTATATAGACATATGTATATATATGACGACTCGCGTCAGTCGTCTGCCCGCGAAAGTATGTACAATTTTGCGCGCACACGCGCGCGTCGACGTCGCGCTCGCATGATCGCCGTGGACCACCGAGCGCAAATGGAAGCGCGATTTTTCTCAGCCCCGCGGCCGAGCGAGGGTCCGTTCGACGCGCGCGTGCGATATCTCCCCCCTTTCGTCACAATTAATATCGTCTCGTTAATCACAATGGACCGTAGTTATGCAGGAATGACTCGACCCACAAAATTATGATTTAGGAATTTCTGTCTCAGCAATGGTCTCACCAATGGCCCGTATGTCTTCCTACGTAGAACGAAAAAAGACCAACAAAAAATCTCTGTGGGTGCAAAATTAGTTAAAAACCAGCTTTTACTTCCTACTCGCACCACTTTCTACTTATTTTTTAAGGGTCAATGAATACCCTTATAGAGAAGACAACTGACCATGTTTGGCTCCTCGAACGATGCTACATCTGTACTGTCGAAATCGTGTATCAGACTTTCATCTTCGCTTCTCTCGAAACGCACTTTATGTGGGCTGGATCCATTTTTGCACAACTATGGCATAATTTTCCGCGACCTCTTAACAATTAATAACGTGTAATCAATAACAATCGGCCGCTTCCTCGACATTGTGCGCAGCGCGACCGCAGTCGCGAGCTATTGTCTACTCGGTATCCGCGTGGTTTCTCTTTTTTTCCGATTGCTATTACCACTCCCCGCTTACTCGGCGAAATTAATTCGTGCTTGTCGACGTTTCGTCCGCGTCGACGAGCCGCGCTCTTCGTCTTCTTTTCCCTCGTTTGATTGCAGCCACCGACTGGCTGCGATCAACCACATCCCACCTCCCCGGGCTGCGCCAACTCTTTATCGCGAAAAATTGAAGAACCGTTAAACTTACAGAACGCGGTGGAGCCTGGCGTGAAACAGATTGCGGATTGTTATTCCCTTGGTGTGCAGATTTTTTTCCACTGCGAGTTAACCGTGGCTTCGTGAGAAGACAAATTGTGCATATTCACAATTGTGGTTATACCAAGCGAAATATAAATGTAATAATATTAATATAATTTAATCAAAATTGAAAAATTTGATCAAATTAAATAAATAATTATGACAACACACAATGAGAAGAAATAGTTGAAAATTTATTTGGATTTAAGTTTATCTCTGTGAAATAAAGTTTATTTCTGAGGAATAAAGTTTATTTCTGCGGAATAAAGTTTATTTCTGTGAAAATAAATTTTATATTCCACAAATAAATGTTTAAGTATTTTTTTCAGTGTAATATTCCATTGGTTGCTTCGCACGCACAAATTATGTACAAAGGATGAGTAATGCAAAAGTTAGTTGAGTTGGGAGACCAAAAGGCGCGACAACATCTTGATAGCTGATATTATTGTCATCATTGAACGGTAAAAAATGAAATAAGAGTAGATAAATCAAATATATAGATACATAGATATCTTTTTTTAACATAACGAATTACCAATTAACGATTACCAAGTACCAAGTATTACATGGGAAAAACTCCGTCAGTGTAGCTAATTTATTTATTACTTAGGAACTAGATGAAAACTCGACTATAAGAGCAGAAAGATTCCTGCAGGAGTTTCCACTCGGCCAATTGCTCTCAGTCGAGTTTTAACGGAATTGAATGTTCAGACGAATGTTCTCGGTCACGGCAACAGAAACATCATTTCCCGTCTGCGAGTTTTTCATTCGCTCCCCATTCAGTTACACGAACTGATCATCTTTTTTCTCCGTGTGGAAACTGTGAAACTCGAGGTAGAGTGTTTTACTAGACGAATCGGTGCAAATTGTTGCTGCACGTCGATTGCTATCACTTTTGCGAAACTTGGCATCCGCTTTACGTGGCAAGGAAAAAGGAAGGAAGGAGAGAGAATTTACCGAGATCCCGCGCCTCGGTCTACTTCCAATTTGACGAGCGTTCCACGCCAGGCCGCATAAAAAATAATGCACGTGTCGTAGAAATGCAGCGGCCGTAGAAGCGCGCTTTACGATCTAATTACGCGAGTGAATCTATTTCCTCGACGAAACTATCTGGCGGCGGCTGGCTCGCTCGCTCGCTCGCTCGTCGCCACGTTCTTTGGCTTTGAGTTCCGCGCGGGGATTTCGAGTGCATCGTGCGCTCAACGAATTGCACTGACACGCGCGCGGCCGAAAATGGCTGAGCCGTTTCTGTGACGCGCGGCCAAACGTTGAATCTTACACGAGCGAGCGAAATCTGGCCTTCACCGTCCGAGCCTTTAGTATCCTCCTTCGTTTCAAATCTCACAGATATCGCGCCAGATAGTTGCCGAGGTGTCGAGACGGCGAGATCGCGCTCTCACGCCGCGTCACAACTAAGTTAGACTCAAATAAATATAACGAAAATACACATACACGCATCTATGTATAAAATGATCATGCCGCAAATGCGCATATCTATATGTACAACCGATCGGTGAGCGAACGTGAACACGTTAGTACACGAGTCCTTAACGTTAAACTACGTCGAACTCATCGCGCGGTGTTAATTGGTACATGTATTCGTTGTAATGAGATACGCGGAGAGACGCGATAACGAGATTACTAAAATATTCAAAAAGCAGCGACGGGAAATTCAACACGGAGAGAGAGAAATATCGCGAAGCACCAAAAGATGGAGAAAGAAGAAGTCATAACGACAAGCGAAGAAGAAGATCGAGAAACTCAGCTCTGAGTTTTCTCATCAACTTGAAACGAAATTTATCGAACGAGAGAGAAACTGTAACGGTACGAAAGAATTATATGATAACGCGCAGGGAAGAAAAAGCTCAAAATCATACGAGAAAGAATGCGAGAAAGATCGACGCGACCGACGCGTCGGTGGTCACGCTTCTTTCTAAAGCGGAAAACGTGCACGGAGAAAATGTTACGGTAAAAAGACAACAAAATTGTTGTCACCTTGAACCATACAGAATTATGACCGAAATTACTATGTGACTGTTTAAAAATATTATGCACGTTTGATGTTTTACCGTAAATTCTTGCAATTACTTGAATGTTTTCTTACATCTGAGTAGAATTGTACATCAAACTTGCTATTTTTGTAGTAATTTACGATTTCTGTACAGCGTAGCTTTACAAAAGAACATCGTAAAAAGAAGTGGAATTTTGTTAACGTGATTTTTATCACGTTATATTTCCTCCGTGTATGAAAAGGCGAGGGAATCTCTTTGTAGTAAAACTTAACCTAACGTGGGGCTCACGTGAGCCCCTTGATACAGCTTACGTAGCTAAAGTCAACCTTAAAGCCTAATCGTTCATGGAACATACAGCGTTTAATATATCATAGATATATGGGACCAAAATCACCAGCACCAGTCGCGCGTCCGTGACGCCTCGAGCATTACAACACGATCGCCGTGTGCTGATCTTCCCGACATTGCGAGAGGCCTCAAGATCGCGACGGCGATCTCGAGCTCTTCGGGGCTCCGATCGGCTTCGCGGGGACGAGCGAGATTCGACGGCGCGCGTCGCATCCGGGGGCCGCTTCGCGCGGCCTTAACGCGCCGCGATTGCGTCCTTCATCGCGATGCCCACGGCTGTTCTATAAGGCACACTCGACAGCTTAACAAACACCTCCGTGCGCGCCGGCAAGAATGTCTTCGCGAGCTTCTCCGTGTGTTCGGCGCGCGGGAGCCTCATCGAAAGTTACGAAACCGCGAAGACGCGGCCGCTCGGAGAACGTTGGTCTGCAATCATCTCCGGGACTCGATCTGAACAGGCGAGCATTATTCTTCCTCGCCGCGACACGAGCCATATCTCTGCTTCGCGCGCGACAATCGCAACACGGCGCAATTGACACGGCACTAATTCGACATGATTGTACCTTCTTCGCGACCTCGCGTGTTCGATGCGAACAATTCGCGTGAGCAACGGGAGGAGGACGGTTTGCTTTCTTCTGTCGCGCGCGCGCGCGCGCGATGTGTAAAAGGGTCTCGTATAAAAAATAGACGGTTTCTCCGAGCACGCTCCGCGCCTCCCGTCGAGAAAGAGACGGCAACGAGACGGCACCGGTACGTACCAAGCAGCAGCGAATGGTTCCGCGCGCTCAAGTACACCCGGTCGATGTGTCGCGCGTCGCGACGCGACGCAGCTCGAGGATCCCGACGACTGATGCCGGCAAGCAATCGTGAGAATAGAGAGGAAAGAGTCATTTCTTCCCTTTTCTCTGGCGAATCTCCACCTACTCGCGTCCTCACTTCGCGTCCGCGATGAAGCGACGACCCGCGAGTCTGCTGACCGCGTCTACTTACCGAAGTGGTGAGGAAGGGTGTCGCGCGTTCATCTTGCATCGCCGAAAAGGACTCCAAGACACTGAAGGGAGGGAGGAGCAGAAGTGAGAGACAACGAGAGTGAGAAAGGGAGAGAGAAAAAAGAAGAAGATAAGGATCAAGAGACAAGGAGGTGAAAATGATCGCCCAAAACGGGCGTACTAAGCGGACCCGGCCGTGGCTCGGCGTTATCATCGCGGGATAATATCGAGCATGGCGGATCATCGTCGTTTTTACCTTTCAATATCCGTGCTGGGATCTTCACTCCGCTCCGAACCGCGGACGCACACGAGCGCGTACACGCGCGAATATTGCACTTGGGAAGAAAGAAAGTGAGAGACGAAGAGAAACTTTTCCAGAAAGGAAGGAGAAGAGAGAGAAAGAAAGAAGGAGAGAAAAGAGAGAGAAAGAAAGAAGGAGAGAAAAGAGAGAGAAAGAAAGACGGAGGCTCCTTACAGGCAGTAAGGATGACAGAACTGGTAGACCAGTCTCTGGCTGCGTTCCGTTTTCTTCATGATGCCCTTCTTGTAGTACTGACGAATGCTGCGGCTGAGTTTGTCGTAGTTCATGGCAGGCCGATTCTTCCGCTTGCCCCAGAGCCGTGCCACGCGCACCGAGTCCTCGATCTTGAAGACGCCCTTGCCGCGGTCCAACCAGCGTATGCAGGAGCCGTGTACGCCCGGGCTCTGCAGCAACTCCTTCAGGAACTGCCACAGATGAATGTAACTGCCGCCGTTGCGCATCTTGCCGCCTCCGCCGCCACTGGCACCGTTGCTGTTGCCGCTTTGGCCGGAAGCGCATTCCTCATCTTCGTCTGCTAAGCGAAGAACAATTGGATGCAGAATGAGAAGGTGAACAAGTGAATATCTCGTTTTGTTCTCGAGAAAAAAGTTGGAATTGAAAGTTTGATTTTTATGTTTCAATACTCAATGTTGACACGAAAATATAGAGTCAACCAAAAGACTCGGTTCGATTTTCCGTCTTCTTCGACAGTAAATCAACTGACCATCTGCTACGATAAAAGGATATAAATATTGTCAGAACGTTGACGAGATATTATGTAGACAATGATAGTGATTGCTTGATTGATGAGTAATTTGTTCCCGACAAGATTAAATTAGACTCGAAAGTCGAAACCGAACTTTTTTACTGACCTTATACTTAGATATTAATCTTTGAATTGTACCGATTGTTGCCTGAGCTTGGGAAGGTTTCTCTATTTTGCACAATGACGAATGTGAAAGTATAATCGCCAAAGAAATATTTGAATAATTTGTCGGAGATATTAATAGCGTACCGTCTGAGAAATCGATGGTGCAAGGAGACCCCTTGACGCTGGCGGTTGATGTGTTGCTGACAGTCGGCGGGGTCACGGCGCTGTTCGGTGGCTGGACCACCCCGGCTGGGCTCCAAGAAGCGGCCAATGTGTTCCGCGGCGACTCCTCAACTGCGGCTTTCCAGATCTCCAGTTGCGCGTGCAACATGCTTCCGCACTGCAACACAAACACAGCGTGGTTCTTACGTTAGTACCGATCTCATAACGATTTCCATAGCCGCGGCTGTTGTTCTTTCTCTTTCTATCTCTTTGTACACATACACACACACACACACACATAAATCTATATATATTTATATCATAACGACGCGTAATCGTCACATGTCAGTGTTCTGTTTGAAAAGGGCGAACAGCTCGCCGCGGGAACCAAAGTGCATGATCCATTGTGCATTCTGTACCTGGAGTATAGTTGGACATCGAGTCGCTCAATTTCCTGCGAGAGATCGCGATTAAAAATGAAAGGCGAGCGCGCGGGGAAAAAGCGCGCGCGCGCGCGAGAAAGAGAGAGAGAGGGAAAGAGGGAGAATAGATGACCGACAGTGAGACCGGGGGGGGAGAAAAGGGGGAAGGAGCGAGGCACAGAGCGTTAGAATTCCAACGGAAGAGTCGTGTTGTGCGCCGAGAGAAGAGAAAGCGGCTCTCCGTTGAGACGCAACGCAGGCAAGACATTCGAGCGGTTGACCCACTTCTCGATCGTTCCTGCCGAGCCAATGGCGCGCGCGCGCGCGCGCCCATACACGCCAGGTACGACGCAAAGTCGATCCTTCTGATCGCGAGATCGCGAGCGTATGAGCGCGACGTGCATGCATGCATGCACGCACGCGATGTCGCGGCGAGCACCGCCGTTCACCCTCACAACGCACAAATACGACCACGTGAGAGACGCGAAACGCTTCCTCCTTGCGTGAAAAAAAAACATCTCCGTTTCTGGACTCTTAAAGTTAGAATTGCATTATTTATTGATTATTTATTTACTTATAATTAATTGTTCGTTTACTTACCCCGAAATCAATGGTCTTAACACACAACTCGCGTTGCGAGAATTGACGCAAATTGTATTTGCATTTGTTGTTTTATATTTTTAATGTACTGTCACACTCTTTTTACACTATACAGGGGAAGAGTATTGTAACAAAAAGTGCAACAAAATTTTTGCGATCTTGCACCGTACAGAATTATAATCGAAAATATTATATATCTCTTAAAAAATATTATGCATGTTTGACTTGTGGCTACAAGATTGTTGTAATCGCTTGAATATTTTTTGTATTGTATACGAAAAACCATACCATATCAAATTTATTATACTAATTTTTATACGATTTTAGTATGGTCAAAGAAACGCTGTAAAAAGAAATAAGGTAATTTTAACGCGCGCAATTCTTACTACAATATTTCCTCCATGCGTATATACTATTATACTACGTTGCTTTGTGTGACACAGGTCTGACTTAATGGCAGCACTTATTGCTGTCACTCATCTCTTTGTGCGCCTTCTTATCTCTGTAACATCGTGATACATATGTATCGGTATTTCTTTTTCGCATGCAATAATGTATAATAGAATTCAATAGTATAGAAGTCGAGATGATACGAAGCTCGCGTGAAACATTACTCTCGATCCGTCGACATAACTGTGCAATGTCGAAGCATTCCGCTTGTGCTCCATTCAGCTGCGCCGCAATTACACTCGGCGCTGCTGCGTCGCGTCATTCCGGGAAACAGATTCTCGTATATCGATAATCACCGCCATTAAAACGTTATGCCAAACCGCAAGGAATGCTGTAATTATTTTCTCTCCCTCCCTCCCTCCCACCCCGGGGGAATTCGATGAGCGAACGCGGCGTGACTCGTTCGAGTTTTTACGAGCCGCGTCAGAGTTCGGAGTCACCCCAGAGATGCAGCCTGATTTCTCACTCTTCTATTCTCTTCGATTCTTTCGTTCATTTACAGAAATTACGCGATAATTCAAAAGTTATTCCTCAAGATATACTCCGGCACAAAGTATAGTTAAGAGGAAGAAAGATTGTAACGCTTCTTTTTCAATGCGACGCATCTATTCGAGTAGGTGTTTATTTTTAGCGATTCTCAAAGGATAATTTTTCTATTAGGCGTCGAACGCATTTTAAAGTTCATCCACGTAAAAGTGCTGCGATTTTTCTCATCACTGAATCTTACTCGCACACTAAGAGAAAAAATATGTAAGAAGTAAAAAATATTTATTCGGGATACATACTATAATAACATATTTACTTATATATTTCTCAAATAAGAAAATATACATTTTCTCAAAACTTTGGTTTTTCATAAAAGCAATTGTTTATTTTATTTAATGTGTAGAATTTAAATTTAAGGAAATATTACTCAATAAAAATAAATTTTTTTTTATTTTTTCTCAGAGTGCAATATTGTATTAAGTTGGTGCAAGAAGTTTGCCGTGTTTGTCGAATCAAATAAGAAACGAAATTGTTCAATTTCAAAAAATTAATGCTTATTACGAACAAAATGAACATCGACTCGCTATTTATTCACACATTCTGACGAGGATTTCTTATTTTCCTTCTAATACTCAAACTTCTTAGAAGAATTTAAGAGAAAAACAGCAGATCTCTCACACCAATCTAATGTTTAACGAAAGAAAGAAACTCAAAGAGTCAGGCGATCGATAGGCGGGCTTCTAATGGAATGAAATGCGAGATTGAAGATCCTCAAAATTCGTCTGATCAGATTACACTTTACAGATTGCGCAGTTGGGCCGGAGGAATCTTGGCAGATAATCCGGTATGCTTATGGCCAGCCAGTGAATGAAGTCCGCGGATGGAAATTTGAGCGCGCGTCGCGTCAACGAGACTCGAACGAACGAGGGAAGGACTCGCGCGAGATCGCAGATAGAACGTGACCATAAGCCTGACCATGATTCCATGCTACGAGGACTACCGCGGTACTTCGTATAGGCGCGATTATCCAATTACTAGACGTAAAGCGGAATCCATTATGCATGACTACTTCCCCGCTGCTCGCCATGCAACGGCAGCAACTACTAATCACTTCGCTCGCTATTAATTTCCGTTAGACTGGACGCCTGCAGTTTCGAGCAACGAGATGCACATCAATCGATGCACGACGACGCCTCGAGATCTACCTGGTCACGACTTAAATACTGCTGTCGCGTTTCTTCTTCCTCTCCACGGGCTTCTTTTCCCATCGTCATGACGCTACGATGCATTATTTGTTGAAATTATTACTCGCTTCGCGCGATGATAATGTCAAGTTCACTTGCTCGGCTTCGCCGCTTGGGCTCTCTCAAGTTTAGGGCTGACCACGCTTAGTAGTGTAATCAACATCGGCACAACCGGTTTTTCACACGCTCCGCGCCGACGGAAATAAAACTTGTTACTTAATAAGCGACAATATAGCTTGTACACGCACGTGCGCATGTCGGAAAACGCAGCGGAGAAAAATACCTGTTGCCTCGTGTTTTCTTCTACCGACACGTTTCTCGTCACGTAACAACACCACGTATTCCCGTGATAGCTTTTATATTTATCTCTACAATGCGCGTCTTCTCGATATCGGATTACTAGCGAATGGATCTCAACTTCGTCAAAGAATCCGCTAATAAAAAGAAAAAAAGAGAAAGAGAGATCGGCAATCTACGACAACGTCAATTCATTCCTAGGAGGAATGGCCTCGTCACTGAGAGAGAAAAAATAGTTAATCTAACTAAAATTAGTTATTTTTGGCCCTAACCATATTTTTTGGCTGTTCCAACACGAAAATGATAGTAACATGCACACGTAATAGTTATTATCACTAATGTTATATAATAGAATATATAATAAATATTACAATAGAATATATAATAAATATTACAATAGAATATATAATAAATATTACAATAGAATATATAATAAAAAATATTATAACAGAATATATAATAAATATTATAATAGAATGTATAATAAAAAAATTTCTCTGTAGTAATTATTTCTCCATGTGATTGTATAGTCGCAAATGCCAAACTTCTTTTTCTCAGTTTTTAACGTGGCTGACGCAAACGCGTGTGATTCTCTCGCACGCCAGATGATTGTCGCGGGAATCCCGAACCCGTTAAGTGTCGAAACCCTTGCGCTCCTACACGTTTGCCCCTCAGGTATGGATTACGCGGAAGGAACGCAAACGCACGTCGATTACCAGGAAACTCACTTTCACCGGACCTCGGACGTGGGCATTTCACAAGTCCGACTCGAGTCGTCGATCGTTTTCGTTACTCGTTTCCGTGCGCGAGGTCCCCCCGCGTTTCTCTCGATACGCGACCATCCGCGAAAGAAATGTCGACGCACGTACCTTGTCGAGACGCAGAAGTTGCGAGCGAAACGTAAAACTTTCACAAGCGCGTAACCGTGACAAATGCGAGATACGCTGTAAATCTTCGCGAACGTCAGATAAGCTTTGCGAAAAAACGCAACGACATTGACGAGACTGATAAGAGCGGCAGTTTTACGAGATCTTCTGCTCGCTATCAATGCCGGAGCACTTCGATACGACTACAGTTTGTATAAAGAAACGAACATCTACACGGTACGAATTGACTTGATAGCTTCTTTCATTGTCATCAAGTTTTTCCACACTAGTGTGAAAGAAAAGTAATTTGAAAAGCATCAGCTGATCGAATTGTCGAATTTTCCATGAAATCGTTTATTAGATACTGAGTCAACGATATGCACCAAAATTGCAAGTTACGCAATACGGCCGCGTAAGGTGTCGGAGAAAATCAATGTTGAGCGAAATAAAAGGAAAATGAAGAATAAAATAGAATATAAACATAAATAAATAGGTATAAATATAAGTAAAAAAATAAAAGGAGTAAATAAATAGGAATAAAAAGAATAAAATAAGTGACAATAAGGGGCGATAAAGTATAAAGGATAGAATAAGGAGCAGTAAGTAAAATAAGAAACAAAGAATTACTGTAAAATTGATATGGGAAATAATACGAGACAATTTTGCAGGAAATGTGCCGAGACTCTTTGTGCTCCGTTGCATGCTTAAAGTAAAGCGGATGAAAGTGCATTTGCGCTCACCTGAGGGGCTCTCTGGCAGAATTCCTCCTCGGAGAGGGAGGCCAGCGTCGCGCCGTCCACGTTGAAGCTCTCCAGCGGCACGGAGGGCAACTGCAATTGCCGCCTGGCCCACTGCACCCAGGCCGCAACATCCGCCGCGCTCCAGCGTCTCGGTTCTGCAATTAAAAGCCGGCGATCCGACGTTATTCTCCGCGGTCGTCTCGGGAAAAACGCGTAGCCGCGCGATAGCGGTGGTGAACGCGGCGAGATTATTCCATGTTATTATAACGATACAATTGTTGCCGCGGAACAATGAGAAATACGCTCCATCCAAATGGCGACACGTCAACCGGCCGACTTATTGAAAGCGTATAATTACGCAGTGTGCAATCGTGCTCTTCGCATTTTACGCGCACTTAAAAACACATGAAGTATACGATCGTCTTCAATGTCGCTCGATATAGGTGTGTATTACATTGTAAGACTAGTTAATTGAAAGTATTCAAGCTAGTATGAGTACTAGTACGCTCTAACACTCGTATTAATAATTATTAATTGAAAATCGTCTCAAGTGAGATACACTCAGCTCTGAATTTGGGATTAGATTTGAATTTTTTAGTTAAATCATATGATATATGTATGTGATATTATATTTGCAATGATTCGATTAAAAAACATATGTCAAACTTTAAATAGAAATCTGAGTACGCTACATTTGAAATAAAGTTCAAGCAATGACTATTAATGAGCGGACCCAACTAAAACAGCGAAATTTCCCGTGCCCGGGCAGAACGAAATTAGCCACGTCTCGACAGATGTACTCTCTATAGTACAATCAGTGTATTCTTCACTACAATGGTGCGAGTTTTTTAATTCACCGATGGATCCATCGATGAATTAAAAAACTCGACCATGCTATACATATTTCTAACTAGTGTGGTTCAGTTAACAGTATAGCATCGCAATCAATCTCGTTGAGAGAATTAGTTGGTAGTAGCGGCTGTTCCTATTACTGATACAGTTTGCAAACACAGATAGTATCATTACCAAATCGCATGGAAGTCGGTAATTCCATCATCACAAACGCAGAAAGTTGGATTTGACGTATAATGGATTTGTAGTGTACATACAGATTTTGCAAGGCAAACCTTACTTTCATTGGTCAAAATCAGTGAGATATCAATAAGAGTGAGAAAGCAATAAAGTGGGAGTGTTTCACTGAAAATCAGTGAATATTCACTGATTATCGGTGAAATACTCCTCTCAATTCGACATTTTCACTGATTCACTTTAAGAGGTTAGCGAGAGACCTATCAAGGAGAAATACGTAAAACGCAATTGCGTCGATGACGTGTGGGATCCTCGTGACGGCGTGAAGCGCCGTAATTTCGTAACTGCGCGTGAAAGCACGCCAACACGACTTCGTAACTTATTTCAAGCGTGACATCATGGTTCGGACTTAACGGACAGGAGGCAGTCGTCACGTATACATCAACAGCGACGGCGAAGACGACGACGACGACGACGACGACGAAGAGAACGTCGACGACGACGAAGACGTCGAAACTGCGCCTGCGGCAAGGTAACGAGAAGGTCTAACTAGGAGAGAACGAGGCGACTCTCGGCCAACACTTAGCCGAGAAAATCGAGGTACGCGTCGGCATTTCTGATCGCGCGATCTTAATCCGCACTATGTCGGAGTAGTATCGACGACTTTCTACGGTATCTAATTACGAGGAGATAGTCCACGGATGAATGAAAGTAAGGAATTAATGAAGTTCACCACACCAGAAGAATTACGAAGACTACGCACTCTACACGAAACGTCCCCTCGAACACGAGGGGGAAAGAGAGAGAGAGAGAGACGCTCTATTTGTGATCCTTCGAATAAAATCACGAAGTACGCTTTGATTTCACGATGTATGTTTTACACGGAGACGTGTATAATAAATGCCGCGATCTCCAATGCGCGATAACACGCGACAGAATCAGTAATCATCGCTAAGTAATTGTTACATGTCGAGTTACATTGTCGAGGCGTTCCGCAGTAGGAAGATCCGACGATAAAATATAGAAATCGCGAGCTAGGCGATGGGCTACGCGCCTGATAATGATAATAATTATCGCGTACGCGTGATTGCCAACCACTGTCACGGCGACGATAATGAAGAATGGCGCGCTTCTAAGGATAAACGCGGAAGGTCGCGGCGAGTCACGGTGCGCGCACATTACGCGCCGGCGAGAAAGTGCCTGCGATAGATCGGGCCCGGCTACGTGTGCGATGTGTGTGATTATACATTGCGCGCATAGAAACGTAATAAAAGCAACGTGGAGGGGGGAGTAGAGCAGCGACCGACTTGGGAAGATCGCCGATCGAACTTTCGCGGCTTGGCTAAGTCGCGAGAGCGACAGAAAGAGAAGAGTCGACACCCACCTGGATGAATGCCGAGCGCCACACAGGTGTTGTCGAAATCCTTCTGCAGCTGCTGAATTGCCAGGCTGAGAACCGGCTCGAGCTGCTCCCGGGCGAGGTCGCCGACGCACTCGCCGGCCTCCATGTCCTCAACGTAGCCGGTGCCGACACCGCCGAGATCCACCGGTCTCAGGTTGTACTTCCTCTGGAAGCTGGTGTCGCGCAACACTTCGCGCAGCAGCTGATGATCGCTCTTCTGACCGTCCTTGAAGAGCTCCTCTTCCTTTCGCAGAGGATTCGCCAGTTCCTCTTGTGAGCGTTCCACCTTCGGTTGGCTTATCTTGGGGATCGCGTCCGCTGTTTCCTTGCGCACACCCTTGAAGAGAAGCTCGCGCAGCGCCGAGCTGCCCTCGTACTCGCTCGGACCGGGCGACGACGAGGAGGACAGACACGGGGACGAGTCGCTGCTGTTGGAAACCGATCGCGGTTCCTCCTTGAAGAGAATCTCCTTGAGCAACGGATGACTCTGCACACCGATTTCCTCTTTCTTCGGCAAGAAGTCCGCGTCCAGGCTGTTGTAGATGTCTTCTTCGCTCCGCGGCGGAGTGCAGGGTACCGTGCAGTCGGTCGAGTCCTCACGGTAGCCCAGGCTCTCAGCTAAGAGTCTGAAACAAAGTAAAAGTGCGTGACCAGTTAGGAGATTGCGATGGAACAAGGAGACGCGATGTGTGAGAATCCGAGAAATGAGTCAGAATCGAAAATCATTACGATACTAAATGGTAAACGTGATCGTACAATTTGCGTTTACCTAACACTCGAGTTACTGACGACGTCAATGCAAAAAAAACATCAGGATTTTATGTAAGAAATAGTCTAAAAGTATTGAATTGAATACTGTGAATTCCCTGTGCTAAGAGTACTTGATGCTCACCGCTACAATTACACAGTGTAATAATAATAGATCAGAAAAGCCATTTTTGCAGTAAGTGCGATTACTAGATTAGCAGTAATAATCTTACACACCTATTATACTACTTCTTTTGCTGGAACAATAAAAAACGTGTTTGCAGGAGTGACTAATTTCAGGGAGATTGAACATTTTTTCTCTGACGACAGATCTCATATATCTCATATCTTCATCACATTACGTGCACTGAGAAAAAAATACTTGAAAATTTATTTGTACGAGATAAAAGTTTATTTCACAGAAATAAACTTTACATCTGATGAGTGTTTCTTCCTCAATGTGTACGTAATACTAGTATTAGAGAAACGTATAATATATGTAAAAAATTATATAATTTATATTTCATAGTTATAAAAAATATGTATATAATAGAATGACGTTCATCTCGTAACGGTAAAGCAATGCAAATGCGCAATTCGCGAAACAAGTCACGACCGAAGAGGATCTACCTGGATTCCTGAAGGATGGCCAGGAGGTCGAGACTCTTCTCCCTCTTGACCGGCTGCTTGGCTGACGGTTCCGGGCTGGTGGGGTAAAACTGGGCGCTCTGGGGGCTTCTGGGCACGTAGTAGGGACTCGTCGGGTACCCCGGCGAGGATCTCTCGCGCGAATAGTTAGGCGACAACGGCAGCTCGCCGTTGTTCTGATGATACGGCGGACTCTGGTAGATCGTAGGCGATC